GAGGTCAGGAGGATTGCAGAGCACAGGTCCAAGCTCCTAGCTCTCATGGTCTGAGGCAATGTGGTCCCACATGTTACATCACCCAAAGTCAAGTGAAGCCAAAGGTCTTGACATTCGTGTGGACTCCTGTGGTAGCTAATGTGAGGTCCCAGCAGCTTGAAGCAGCCACAGGCACCTTCCTCCACCAGCCCAGTTCCTGCTATCGCAGGCTAAGCCCACACCCCACTTGTGGGTGTTTCTACAGCCTCCCATGGGCTGGAAACCACACTCCTATAGGCAGAAACTGCTCTGGGGGAGGGGGTACAAGCAGCTCTGAGATTGGGAACCCCATGTGAGCTAAAGAAGCAGGATCTGGGGTAAACATAAGGAAAACCCTATTCAATTTCAAGGCTGCAGGCTCAGTTACTAAGAGCAGAGTCTGTAGCACAAGGACCTACTAAGAGCAGAGTCTGTAGCACACAGCCCTGGGCTGTGACTAACAATGAGTCTGGAGTCAGAGGGTACCCCTGACTAGTCCAAATCCTTCTGGCATTAGACAGCAGGGCCTGAGGGAGGTGAGAGGAAGCTGAAGTGCCTGAGACCTCATCAGGGCTGCAGTGGGACCAGGGCACAGAGGCTGGGGAGAGAGGAGTGACAACACAGGGGGAGCCCACCCCACTCCGGGGTCTTACTTGAAATTGATGTTGGCACAGACCAGCATGTCATTGAGCAGGAAGACCCTGCGCTCCTTGGACTTGATCAGCTGCCCACGGTCTCCATACACCGTCTCTGTCAGAGTCTCACACAGGAGCAGCTGCCGCTGGCCAGATGTCAACAGCTGGAGAAGGAAGGAACAGAGAAGGTCAATGCCGATGTCACAGTCTAGGATGCTTCACAGACTGCCAGGCCAGAGGTTCATAACCTCTCCCACCTTTCACAAAAGGACACCAAGATGGTGTGTGATAATAGACCTACAGTAACCTACATTAACCCCAGCACTCAGGGCTGGGGGGCCGGGAACCATGAGGTTCACACCAGCCTGGACTATTCGGTGAGACCTCTCTAAAACAGCAGAAGGCCTGGGAAGTGGCTCCGCTGGTGGAGTGCTTGCCTTGAAAGCACCACGTCCTGGGTTCCAATACCAACACCACATAAAGTGTGGTGGTACACACTTGTAATCCCAGCCCTTGGGAGGTGAAGGCAGGAGGATCACAAGTTCAAGGTCAGCCTCAGCTAACTAGGGAATTTGAGGATAGCCTGGGCTAGAGATTCTGTAAACAAAGAGAAACAAAGGGGGCAGCTGCAAGAAGAAGAGGAGGACTGAGAGCCAACACCCATCACTAGATAACAAGATACACTAGACAGGGGAGACCAGGGCACATACATTGGGGTCTCTACTTCAGGGAGACCCTGTAGAGCCTGACTAGCCGCCCTTGCCGGAGTGGAGCCCAGCAGCCTCTTTTTCAGGTGAGCTGGCTTCTGCCATCATCCCCATGTATCGTGATCCCATAACCACCTTCACCAAATACAGGGGCTCCAGAGTGACCGGCACGGTCTCTGAGCAACGCCTGTGCTCCCCAGCTGGGCAGTCACAGGACACTTCAGTGGGAGCCTCAGTTACCTCCACTGCTCATATCACACAAGTAATGAGCATGGTGTCTACCGAGTCAATTCCCAAAGTCACTACACCAGGCAAACACGGGCTTGAAAGTTAGTGTGAATTTCAAGGCCGCAGCAGAACACATTAAACAGGCCCAGGGCCTTACTGAGTGTGGCCTTGGGAGGGCGCAGGACATCCTGTACTAGGTATGTAGTGGGTACCCACAGATGACACTGTTTAGGTACTCTGTTCAAGACCATCTTTGTCATGGAAAGGCGTGCTTTCCGGGGACACGTGACCTGGAAGGAGCCCCATGGCTTCACTATGACCTGCTGGGCTTCAGCAGCTCACATCATTCCTTGCAGGGCCTAGATCTGCTAGTCAACAATGCGTGTTCTAAGAATACCAAAGACTCTCAGACCCCAAGACCTGAGCAAGCCCACCCCACTTCACAGGGACCCCAAAACTATCCAAAATCCCTCTGAAAAGTATCTTTTTCCCTATGGGTTTTTTTTTTTTTTAAGTGGACCAGGGAGGATGCAGTGAAATCTCAACCTCTCCCTGCTGGCCTCCCTTGAAGAGAACCCTGCTTCCCAGAGCACCCCTCAAGTGAATACACAAACTAAGATCCTAGCGGCACGGGCATTGCTGTGTGGTCAGCACTGTGGTTCTCAGAAGAACCCCACATGTACTTCATCAGCTCAGCCTTAAAGTACCGAAACAGATTCTAGAGGAGTGCAGTGCCCACAGTGCCCTCCACAGGCCCCACAGCATGACCCCCCGCTGCTTTGTCCCCCTGCATTGTGTGGCAGTGCCTGGCTCAACAGGAACAGTTAGTCCCACTGTGCCCACCTTACAGAAGCCCCAAGGTCACTAGGGTCCCCACATTGCTATGGCCCTGCTTCTCCACAGTGTCTGTAAGCAAGGCTGACACAGCTCATGACAACATAATTCAGGCAGCAGCCTCCCCCTCCATGACAGCAGCCACGGGTTAGCAGGACCTACGCTGGGAGAGGAAAGTTCCCTCCGGCCATAGGCCCTGTCCCTTATGCAGATTAAAAAGGAAAAAGAAAGCCATTGTACCAGCACCCCTCTGGAGGCTCCTGAGTCGGCTGTTTAGAAACAGCTTGTGGGTCTGTTTGTGCCCCTCCCGGTTTCATTTCCACTTTTCTCTGGTGATGGCCAGAGGACAGCCACTGATCAGATCCTCAACTCCCCCAGATTGTCCCCTGGACGAGGTGGGAATGGGACACAGTGTGCAGCTGACACCCTTCTCCACACCTGTATCCACAACTGGCCAGCTCACCCTTTACTCAGTGGAGGGGAAAACTGAGGCTCAGCTCTCTCAATCCTCTAGCCTGATAGCAAATGGGTCTGGCTGACCACCTCCTGCTGCGCCTGGGTGTTGGGGGTGGGGTGGGGACAGGCAGTGGAAGAGAACAAGACAGCTCTTCCCAGGGCAGTACCACAGACTTCTCTCCCCCTGCCAGGCATTGTCTGCTGCTGGAAGGAGAAGCCTCTCCAACATGAAGGCCTTCACAGAGGACTTCAGAAACTGATGTCTTCCCTCCAGAGACATTCCAAAACTGCAGGCTTGGGGCCTGGGGGAGTCAGTGCCGTCCAGAGTCGGGGAGGAATGATCCCCAAGAAAGCCACCCTGGGCAAGCCTCAATAGGAAATGCCCTCCAGGGGAGGACGCTGCTCCCCTTTCTCCTGGCCACACACCACAAATCCTGGGCTCCCAGACAGGTGAAGCAAACCAGATGCCCTCGAGCCAACACGTACCCTTAATGAGAAGTGACAGTAAGACCAAACGGAAGTGGGTAACCACTCTCAGGTGAAGGGAACCACACAGGATAGTTGCTGCACCAGCTCTTCCAGCCCTGAGGGAAAGGTCCTCGAATCTGATGTTTATGACATGTCCCAAAATGCTACCAATGACTTCCACTTTCTTAAAAGAACAATGTGGGGGGCTGGAGAGATGGCTCAGAGGTTAAGAGCACTGGCTGCTCTTCCAGAGGTCCTGAGTTCAATTCCCATCAACCACATGGTGGCTCACAACCATCTGTTATGAGATCTGGCGCCCTCTTCTGGTGTGCAGATATACATGGAAGCAGAATGTTGTATACATAATAAATAAATAAAATCTTAAAAAAAAAAAAAAGAACAATGTGGGCCCAAGAGGTGTGCAGCCCGTCTGTGGCCCCAGGCTGGACGGGGCAGAACTTGGGAGTGCCTGGAGCTCAGGACTTCAGGACCTCAGGTGACACAGCCCAGCCTGATTCTATGACCTGGTGAAGGTCAACAACAGAAGTCAAAGTCGGCAGTCCCAGATGAGCGTTCTCCACATGGGCCAGCATGGTGACCAGAAGGGGCTGTGACCTCGCAGGCCACCCTCCTGGACAGTGAACTTCTTTCCACACTGCTGAAATCCCCTTCCAGGAACAGTCAGCCTCCAGCCTCAGCTCTGCTTCGGGATTCCCCAGAACATCTAACACTTCCTGTAGCCTCACACCATGTCGCCTCTCTGGAAACAACCATCCAGTAAGCCCTGGCGAGGTCACCTCACCTGCAGACCATTCCTGTCCACCTCCACCCTCCAGCCAGTGAGCATGAGGGCAGAAGTAGGATCTGCAGGCCTGCACGGGGCAGTGAGGGACTCACACCAGGGGACTCACACTCACATGCACCAGGAAACAGAGGGACCGCAGCCTATAACAACCGACCTTGTCTTTTCTTCTCATATGTATGTCTGGCTGCCCTAGAACTCCCTATGTAGTCCAGGTGAGTCTGAAATTCTGGCTCTTCCTGCCTCTGCCTCCCAAGAATCAAAGGTATTTACCAGCACACTGACTAAAAACCTGCATTTAAGCTGGGAGTGAGGGAAGTTCAATGGGCAGAGCACTTGCCTAGGATGCATAAAATCCTGGGTTCAATCCCCAACACAGCATAAACTGGGCATGGTGGTCCACCCATGTAATCCCACCATGGGAAAGTAGAGCCAGGAGGATCAGAATTTCGAAGTCCTCCTCGGCTAGCTACAGAGTGAGTTCGAGGCCAGCCTGGGATACATGAGACCCTGTCTCAAAAAAAAAAAAAAAAAAAAAAAAAAAAAAGTTTCTGTCCTGGTAATTAGACTAAAGAACAAAACTTTCCTTTATCCTAAAATAACAGGAATCACAATGAATGTGCTATCTGGTGGGTCAGGCTCCCGCGCTCTCAAAGAACACTGCCACCTAGTAAGAGACCCTGGGCAAGCCGTGGGAGCTCAGGTGAGACAGGAGAGTCACCGCTGCGCAGGGGACTAGGCGCACACCCACCTTGTTGAGGCTGCTACGGTCACTGACACTTTTGGTTAGCTGTTGGATCTCTGCCACCTGGTCGGCCAGCCGCTTCTGTTCATTCAGCTTCTCAGCCAGTGTCTCCAGCTCCGTAAGGGCTAGCTGCAGTGACAGTCTGTCAGGGTGGCCTCTGGGGGTGTTCTTCAGCATGTCCTGCCAGAACCAGGGAGAGTAGAAATAAGACATGCCCCACACACGTGTGTGCACACATGTGCGCGCACACACACACACACACACACACACACACACACACACACACACACGCCCTCTCCTGTTTCGGAATCAAAGTGTTGTCCTCCTGTAGTCCTCACAGACCAGGCCTGAAGGGTGCAGCTTGCAGTGGGGCCGAGGCACTGGACATGGAAGGCACAGGATAAGGCGTAGTGAATAAAGACAAAATGACCATGTGGCTTGCTCTGAACATAAAAGAATTCCATCAGAGGGTCTCCTAGAGACACTTGTTCATCCATGTTCATAGCAGTGTCAGTCACAATAGTCAAATGAGGAGACGATCAGTATCCATGAGGGTAGGGACAAAATGGTAAGGTAACAGTCACCCCTGGGCCTTAGGAAGAAGGCAACTCTGACCCATGCTATAACACGGCTGAACGCTGAGGACATGACATCACCAGGGACAAACACCCTGCAATTCCACTTCGGGCAGCTTCTAGAATTATTAGACTTCAGAGAGAGAAAGTTGCGGGTAGAAGGAGTGGCTGTCGGGGGCTGAGAAGATGGGGAGGGGAATTATCATTTACTGGGTCCAGAATTCCAGTGAGGGAAGATGAGGAATTCCCACAGATGAACGGCAGGGACACCTGCACGATGGGAACATGCTTGATGCCACAGCTCTGCACACTGAGAGGTGATGGGCCAACAGCAAATGCTTCAATAGAGAGTGAATACTGGCTTGGCAAACAGTGTCCTCAGCTCAGAGCTCACACTCACAGCGCAGCTGCTCTGCCAATAGAGGTAAGATGGCTACCCGGTCCACAGCCTGGCTGTTGTATCTGGGCAGCCAGGTCACCCTGTCTGAGGACTGACCACAGGGCCTGGAAAGGGGCTAATGCTCCTTCAGGCATCCTGGGTTTGTGCCTAAGTGATATCTGATCAAGGTTAAGTCAGTGGACTGCCTGGGGGGCAGAGTGGGTTGTTCTGGAAGGCTAAGCCATATTCCCTTCCTGCCTAAGCAAAGGTGTAAAATATACTGTAGGCCTGAAGAGATGGCTCAGTGGGTTAAAAGGCACTTGCCACCAAGCCTGTAGACTCGACTTTAACCCTTGGGACCCACATGGAAGAACAGAACTGACTCCTGCAAGTTGACCTCGACCTCCACATGGTCATTGTGAACACACACACACACACACACACACACACACACACAAGTTAAAGAGATGGCTCAGTGAATAAGAGAGCTTCCAGCTCTTGCAGAAGACCCAATTTCTTAACATCCGTATCAGGTGGCTCAAAACTGCCTATAAGTCTAGCATGATTGGATACAACATGCCTGGCCTGCAAAGGTACCAGCATTCATATACACATGCATGCCCACGCACAGACACATCCATATACACAATTTAAATAAAATAAATACTCTTAACGCTGCTGAGCACAACAGGCTAACCTCTTGAAGTCAAGAAAGATGAAGCAAGCCCCCAAACAGGAGTGGACCACAGATGTGAGAGACACAACTGACCTCCCCACCCTCAGCCATCCCTTGACCCTTGGGGAGTCCCAAGCAGTACCTGGAGCAGGAGGATGAACTGTGGGAATCTCTGAACAGGTTTCACCATCAGCCCATAGAGGGTGACTCGGTCTGCACTGCACACCTGTCGCCGCTGCAGGGACAAGGCTGTGTCACTTGTCAATCTTTGACAGCAAGGGTCCAACACCAGGATCCAGACCAAGTCCTCATCCTAGGGACCTCTCCTTGGGCTCCAGGACCCTGTTTAACCTCGAATCCATACTCAGGAACCCTCTCACCATGGCACACTCTGTGTAAGCCACACCCTTGGAGAACCTGAACAGTCACTGACAGCCTCCCAGCTAAAGGCAAAACTGGAGAATCAACAGTTTACTCACTGCTGTCTATAAGGAACCAATACTATCATTCCCTGTAGGTAAACTAAGCAGAGAGGCCTGGGCCAGGGTGAGGGTGAGCATGGGGTCTCCCTGTCTACCTCAGCTACTTGCTTATTCCGCCCATGTGTTGTGTGGGTCCTGGCCCGTATCCCTGGCGACCTCACAGCTTCCCCAGCAGCTTCCAAGTTTTCTGCCCCAGCTCAAACTTTCGCCGGCTCAATGCTTTGAATACTCTTGCCTCACCCACAGCCTGAAGATCCAGAAGAGCCCAACTAGACTACACTGCCCAAGGGAGCATTCTTTATGGGGTACCCCACACCCCACAGATCCGGAAGGGAGCTTTGCTTGCTCCCACATTGCATCTTGTCAGTATTTGTACTGGAAACAGCCCTCTAACTATCTTCCCCAAGGCCCACATCAGAAGGTTCCCCCTTGAGAAAGCATCCTTGTCCATGCCCTCTTCACTGGGGCAGAGAGCTCACCTGCCAAAGCCCCAAAATCTCATGCCCCTGCATCCTATTTTGGATTCAGGGCCGTGTCCCCCACCCACGGTACCCCATCACAGAGGACCTTGGAGCCTTGCCACAGCTAAAGAGTCCTGTAGCTTCCCAAACTCTTGATTCTGGAGTCCAAGACCTGGATTTGCCCACTTAACAAACAAAGCAATGGGAACAAAGGTCAAGCCTGTGGTACCCACCACACAGCTCCATGTTCCAAGTTTGCCCAGCAGCCTATTGGGTTCCAGGATCCTGAGCTGACTACAGACCCCTTAACCCCTTCTCATCTTCCTTCCAGGGCAGGAAAGGATATCTCCCTGGAGACTGGGTTCCTAGATAATCTCACCATAGCCATGACACCAAAGTTGTCATGACAATGTCCCTTTCTCCTGAGGTACCTCCCCCAAGTCCATCCCTTGTGAGTGTGGACTGCATGGCGCTAGGCTACCTTGAGGAACTCGAGGAATGCTGGCTTGGTGAGACAGGCCTTCTTGATGATGGCCATGGCGTTGGTGAAGTTATTCACATAGTCGCTGTACACATCTAAGACCATGGACTTGGAGAACTGTAAGAAATGGGGGCAGTAGCTGCATCAATATGGGGGCAGCTGCACCCATCCTTTCATGCTTCCGAGACTCTGCTCAGGGAAGAAGGAGTCTTGTCACCCAAAGTGACAGGAAACAGACTCTACAGCAGCTCAGAAGCTACATGACAGAGAAGGCAGCCTAGGACAGGGGCACTGCCTGGGCTCCATCTATTTCCTTGCCATGGCCAGGAAACTGGGGAGATGCACCCACAGCCAAGCTACAGATGTCAGCAGTCAGCCGACCTCTCACCATAGCCCCCAGGACACACCCACATGGGATGACATGTCTAAGCTCTCCCAAGCACTGGCATTCTCAAAACCGTCCTTCCCGCTAACAGAACCAGAGGCTTACAACCAAGCAAAGCTGGCTTGACCATCTTACCCGCTCACTCTCTGAAGTCTGAGGATTTCAGTTTGACAAGCACACCCCTCAATCCACATGTGTAGAATCTGAGCCCAGAGACATCCTAAGACCTGCCTGTGGTTGTGAAACCAAATTGGACCCAGGACCTCAGGACCATGATCCAGGCTCTTCCCCGAGATCCTAGGAGAGGCTTCGTCCTGGAGCTATGAATGCAGCACGGGGCCAGCATGTACAAGCCTCACTGATCACACCTGGCATGCCTAGAACCCGCACCAAGTCAGAGGGCTGCCCAGGAGGTTGGTCTATGGGCAATACTGCCACTATACCCTGGCTTCAACATTGTCTCTGCCTGGCACACCTCTTCTGGGACATCAAGTTCATGCCAACCTCTAGCGCAGGACGCATGACTGAGGGGCTCTGACATCATTGACTTGGACAAGGCAAGCGGGTGGGAGTGGAGGTTGGACCAGCTCATCTAAGTACAAACACCTACTGAGGCCACAAAGAGGTCCCCAATCTTCTCAGTGGAGTCCCATTCGGCCACGCGGGAGGACAGGGCGATCTGGAACATGGAGTGGCAGTGGAGAATCTCCTTCACGCGGAAGAACACCACCTGACACTTGCGGACGCTCAGGGCCTTGGGCTCCATCTCCATGAGTGGGTTACGGTAATCCTGCCAGGGTGGGTGGGATCGGGAGTAAGACCAGCTATCTTCAAGGTCACCCGAGACAAGGCAGGCTGAGAACTGAGCAGACCCCCCCCCAGTGGGGGCCTTCCTGATGCAGGTAAAAGCATCCTATCTTCTTCATGGATGTTTCCAGAAGGTTTTCCATGAATGTGACATTTCTGCCCTGTCTCTGTCACTCCACAATCCCCCCATCCAGGAACTTGTGTGTTAAGATGGCTTGGGAGCAAATGAATCACTTCTACACCATCTCTGTGTGAGGACTCTGGGCAGGTGACTCGAGGCCATGACTGGCTTGTGTGGAAGCTCAGAGCCATCTGTGTGGCTGAGCAGTGGGGTCTCAGGTCACTGCAGTTTCCTGAGCTCTCCAAGCTATGGATACACTCTCCAGCCACTTCATATGATGCCTGGGCTTCTTCACCTGGCTCCCAAACTGTTCCCACACCAGCAGTTCCCTTGACTGGTGGCCTCATTCTGACATCCCCAAGGAATCCAGGTCTAGGAGACCAAAACCAGACAAGGGTCCACATACATGTCACTCAAACTTCTGCTTAGCATCCCCTGAGCACCCCAGTGTGAGGAAGAGGGGGCTTCGCTCTGCACCCTTACTTTGAGGAATGGCCAGAAAGACATACTCCCTTCCAGGCACAAAAGGGAACACATGTCTTGACTCTCGTTTCAGAGACTCCCAGTTTCACTTCAAAATACAGTTCTCACGGTAAACAGAGGCCTTGGAAACCCAAGGCGTCCCCACTGGTCCTGTTGTCCCTCAGAAGCAGGACTGGCTTTTAGCCCCTTCGACTACCACAATCCCCAAATGTTCTTTATAAAATGACTGCAGAGCCCTGCCTGCCCTCATTCCACAGGCCCCTGGAGTCCTCTGAAGTCTCACCTGGAGTATCCGTTTCAGTGACTCCACATAGCTGCCTTCACTCTGCACAATGGAGCCCAGGATGTGTCTGCGGACCACCTGCTCGGGTCGAGAGCACAGTCAGGACATGGGATCCAAAGAGTAGAACCAGTACCTGATGTAGGAAGGGTCCCAAAGGCAAAAGAGGGGAGCTGACAGCTACAGAACCCAGGAGCCCCAGAGCCACAGGGGATGGACTAAGAGATACACACCCCTGCTCTACTAGTCTTGGGGATAGTGGGTCTTAAGCATCCCAAATTCTGAGACCTCACCATCTCCAGACTCACAGTATCAACATACAGAGTCCAGTTCCCTGCAAAAACCATCCCTCTCCCTTTCATAGTCATTTCCCCTCAGATTCTAGCTGGCATAACCCCAGGCAGAAGGCTGGCACCTGCCACACCTCCCCACAGACCTGCTGAGGACTCAAGCCCTCTGGCATGGGGCCCAGCTCCGGGGCTGGAGGTTTGAAGTCTGTCACACCAACTTCCAGGAGCCCCATATCTTCCTCTTCCGAGTCACCTGGAAAGACAAACGGGAAGACAGCACAGCTAAGCTAAGGTGGGAGTGGCACACCCTGCTCCAGGCCCAGGGAATGAAAACCATTCCAAGAGCCCCGAATCAAATCTGGGAACAGCTGGCCTGAGCCAAGCGAGTCAGCTCCAGCTCCAACTCCCAGGCTCCCTATGGTCCATGGCTGCTCCCCTGGAGCCTTTGGCTGGGGGAGTGGGAGGGAGAATTGGAGGATGAGAAAACGGCACCCTCCAGGGCCACTGTCCCTGCCGAGACCTACCCACTCCATCTGCTCCAGCCCGGCATGGGCCAACCACTCATGTCCCATCATTGGCCACTAAAAATAGTTTTCAATTGGATGCCAAAAAGCTGGGAAGAAAATACAGCCGAAGAAGAATCAACCCATCAGCTTTGCACTTCCATTTTTTAAAAAATACAAAGATACCCCAAAGGGAGCCGACTCAGCCGGGTGTGACAGGGACTCCTGTCTCCTGGGGCTTGGCTCTATGGCAGAGAGAGAGTCCAACAGCAACCCAAGCAAGGCCCTAAGGCAAAAAGAAGGCCCAGTAGGATGCCAAAGGGTCAAAGGGTCGTCCTCCCAGGCCCTGAGTTCCCCAACCAGAAGAGCCCCTGCTATTTGAAGGCTCCAGTGCCCATGGCAGCCACAGACAGCAGGAAGCAGGAGACAGAGAAAAAGAGAAGTGGTAGCCACTCCAGCTGCCAGAGAAGCGGGGCACCCAGTCAGGCCCTTACCTGAGCAGGACACAGAGGAGGAGGAGGAGGATGGACAGCGAATGACAGTGTGGGGATGAGGGTGGGGGTGGTGAAGGCCCTCCTGCCTGGCCCACATACTGCCTCGGGCATCACCACACACCCACCCCAGCCGCCGTGTCCGAGGCTTCCTCTTCCCCCATGAGCTGCTGGGTAACATTCTTGGCCTGTGATCTGAGCCGGCCAGCTATTAATAACGCCTCTGGGGGAGGGTCATGTTAGGCCCAGGGCTAGTAGGCGGAGTGGAGAGGGTGTCCCAGAAACAGTCCCCAGCCACCCGGCCTGTCTACTCCCAAAGGTAGAAGAGGCATGGGGTGATCGTCTCAGCCAGTATTAAAGTGTTACCTCTAAGAGAACTGGGTGAGGTCCCAACTGTGAGACCAGAGAGACTGGATGGGGCCCAAGTCAGCTTGATGCTACCCTGGCACCAAATGCCACCAGGGCTGACAGTTGTCAAGAACAATGCCCACTGTGCAGGACTCGTTCTGTGTGCAACATGGTCATCCACTCCTTGGCCTCAGGAGACAGGAACACTCCGACTACATAATTGTTATTAGCCCCACTGCATGAAGGAGGAAACCGAGGCACAGAACAGCACAAAAAAAAAAAAAAAAAAAAAATGCCCAGTTTCCAAGAGACTAGAGACACTAGGGGTTCTTCTTGGCTTGGAGCCATGTTCCTTCTAAGCACCAGTCCTTGTGTGAAGCCAGCAGAAGGCACTCCCCGGATGAGGCCTCCTCCCACCCAAGGACTGCCACCCCAGAGTCCTGCCCAGACATCACTGGCCGTTAACCTACTGTCCTACATCTTGTCCCCTTGTCCTCTTGTCTGTTGTCCCCAGAGATATAACACAGCACAGGTGCTGGGCCTTGCTGGGAACCTTTTGAGGGCTCCAGTCTGGACATTATCTGGAAGAGGGGATCAGTGCCCTGGTGGGCATCAAAAACAAGAGGTGGAGACCTGAGTGGGGTCTAGGGAACTGGGGCATCTTGGGAGAGTGGCCAGGGCAGGGAGAAGAACCAAGACAATGGCTGGGCAGGTGAGCATGTAGGCAGAACCCTTACCTCCTGCCAGGAGCTGATCCCAGGCAAGGCCTTGGGCCGACAGGTGCAGGAGGACTTTGCAAGCCAGGAAAACCCAGGCAGCCAAGACAAGAGTGGCAAAAGGGCACCACAGGACCCTCTCCACCTGCGTCACTTCCCCAACCAACCCTCCTCCCAGCTACCCGCATGACTCACCCCAGAGGCTGAAATGCCATCTCATCAGAGGGCTGCAGGCTCTCAGCACGCCCCATACAGCCCTTCCTCTGTCCCCTTCCCCAGCCCCAGCTGTATTTCCCTCCCAGAGCACCTATTGTGACCGGACATTGTATTACCAATTTGCTCACACTTTCACCTCCTATCACTCCAATCAGAGCATTAGCTTCCTCTATTCCAGGGTAGAATTCATAGCCACACACTCACAGTTGTATCCGGGGACTGTGGGCTCCTATCCATAGTAGCTCACAGTAGACAGTTTGTTGGATGACTAAATGGTTAATTGATCAAATCCAACTGTGGGGCACTTCTTCTTAACATCCTGGTGACTCTCTGATGACTTTAAGGGCAAGGGCAAGGGCAAGCACCTGGCCAGGCGCTTAGTGCCACACTGACCTGGCCTTGCCCTCTCACCTCAGCCTCCTCCATCACCCCCATGCCTATGTGTCCTCAGGAAAGTCTATGACCTGTCCCCTCATCTGCAAATTGGCATATGATGCTTTTGTGTACCTGTTTTGTCGTTTGTGAAGATTAACCGAGGCACCCAACAAACACTCCATAAATGCTGACCCTCAACGCCTATGCGCATGCTCAACCTTTGCCCTAGAGTCCCATTCTCCTGCCTCATCTTTCACTCCACCCATGCTCATCTCCACACTCCACACTCTACCCACTCTCTCCCAGAGACCTAAAAGACTAACGTCATCTAAACCATTATTCCCCACTGCACCTGGAGCCCCCGGTTCACCGAGGACACTGTTTAGTAGGTTTTCAATAAGTAGTGGTGAGATGAAGATGGACAAAGAACATTCTAGATGAAGCCAGGTGAACTAGGGGCAGGAGGGCAACAGCCATGGAGCAGGAGGGCAACAGCCATGGAGCAGGAGGGCAACAGCCATGGCCACATACTGAAGGGAGGCCCACAGCTCACAGAAGAGGCTGGTCATGCCAGTCAGAGGAGTGGGAAGCAAGCTGGGACTCACCCAGACATTTGGGGTCCAGTTCAGAAGAGGCCCAGGCATCAGCAACATCACCCCAGCATGCTCCACCCCAACACACTGCTGAACGCCGCCCCTGCTCACCGAGGACGTCTTTTCTGTGCAGAAAGGAGACTTTGCGCATGACGGCCATCCGAGTCTTCTCCAGCCCATCCCGGGTCCCGCTCTTGGCCGCCTTCATGAGCTGGGTCATCTGAGCAAAGATAGGGAGGCTCATGAGAAGTTGAGGGGAGATGGGGACCCCTGCCTTCAAGGGACCTCAGCCCAGACATCAGAGCCAGTCAGCCCCGTTCCATCCAGCAGAACGGATGAGCAGCAGAAGCCAGGGGTGGCATGGGCTCATGCTCCAGGGTCCCTCCATGGGCAGAATAAGGCCTGACCTCTTCCCTCTACTTAAGGGGGTGATGGGATGGGGAAAAGGCCAGGTCTGGGTTCAAACCCCAGCTCTGACCCTCCTCAGTAAGTAGACATCTCTCTGAACCTTGGACAGAAGTGCACAGTCTACCCTCCCAGGTGGGCAGAGACGGAACAAGCCAGCTCTGGGAAGGTCACTGAGGGCTGACACCCTCCCTGCTGAGCCAGGTGAAAAGCCCCACCCCCTTGTCCCCAATAGCCAGGTTCAAGTCTCTGCCCACAGGGAGGGGAACCTGGGGCCACAGGATGCAGAAGCCACACCCCAGTGCTGCCAATAAAGCAAGCCAAGCAGGCCTTGATACCAGTGAGAGGAGGGTCACATTCTCAGAGTAGGAAGCAGACTAGGACCTGCCACTAGGACCCAGACCGAAGAGGAAAACTGCTGCCCCCTTGCCCCAACTGAGCCCCAGCCCCAACACTTTCAACACCGCCAATATTCGGTATCAGAATGTTCCACAGGGGCGGTGTATCTGCACTGTCCAATATGGGGACCACAGGTGACTAATGGGCACTCTGAACATGCCATGTGACTAAGAATTGGAAATCTCAACTTCATTTCATTTTCCTTTCAATGGGAGAGCCACCCAGCCACGGCATGGCTGTTCCAGGAAACCCTTCCTTCCCCATACTCTGATGAAGATGAGGATGCAAATTTGAAAATGAAGGTTCCCCTGGATTCACTGGCCTCATTTCTACCTCCAGCAGCTCTTTGGCTCCCAACTGAAGGGCTACACACTTGTCTTCATGGGGTCTGAGTGAGGACGGGCAGAGAGCCTGGAGGGGGTGGGCTGAGAGCTTGGAGGGGCTCAGAGCCTGGGGGAGGGCTGAAAGCCTAGTGGATGAGAGCCTGGGGATAGGCTCAGAGCCTGAGGGCCTGAGAACCTGCGGGGAGCTGAGAGCTTAGGGCCTGGGGGGTGGGCAGAGGCCGGAGAACCAACAGAGCGATGGCTTTTTAGGAACAAGACTGGCTTTCAGGAAACAAGGGGAAGAGGAAGTGGATCTGCACCCCTTGCTGTAGCCATAACTATGATTCATGGTCTCTTGTAGGAAGGGTCATAAGCACCTTTGAAAACCTAATGGAGTGGGGGAACAGATGTCAACCCCAGAAACTGCACAAGGTGTACCTCTCTCTCTTCTTGGGCACATCCAACTGTAGGGGTTATACCCTAGATGAAACCATCAATGGGTCTATCCTCAGAATCCCTCAGTGTGGCCTTCGAGGGACACCAGAGCCCTTTCCATTTGGCATTTTCTGAACAAAGATGAACAGCAGGTGAACACCCCAGAAGGTTCCCTGAGTTGGCCTGGCATGTGCACCCTTCCATGGGACCACTACTGCTTATGGCAGAGAAAAGAGACTCCGAGAAGCCAGGGGGGTCTGCCCAGGATCACTCAGTGGATAAGCAGATGGGTGGGATTGAACCCAGACCCACAGGGCTCCACGGCCCATGCTGTGGGCTGCTCAACTGAGCCCATCTCCTGCTGTCAACAGCATCACTCAGAAGCCTAGTTCCACTCTGCAGTACAAGCTGGTCTTGAATTCCCAATCCTCCTGCCTCAGCTTCCCAAGTACTGGGAATCCAGGCATATGGTTGCCAGGTCTGGCTAGGAACCTGCATTTTTTTAAAATGACTCCCAGGTCATTCTAGGAGTTCTTGAGTTTGAAATGCCACTGGGTATTGTTGTGGTTCACTGGCATCTCTCTGGCAGGTGTATAGGGAGTGGGCATGGAGAAGGGTCTAGGAAAGAACCAGGAAGTGGAAGGAGCAGATGGCTCATGGCTTTGCCCTTCTGCAGTACAGACGTGAGGTGCAGCCAGGTCACAAGAATTATGGGTAGGCTCCCCAGGCTCACACCCACCCTCCTCAGTGGCCCAGCAGAAAGGCCCCCTGGGGCCAGGAGAGAGGGACAGACAGTACCTTACAATCACACTTGAGCTTCAGCTCCTGCATGTCTCTACCCCCAACTCTCAAAGCCAAGATGTCTCTCTTGGTCCTGACGTATCTCTCCTTTAGCCTAGTCAGGTCTGGAGAAAGCTGGGGCCCCAAGCGGCCAGGCAGAAGGAGAGCAGGCGAGAAGAGCAGGCGGGACAGCGAGGAGACAAAACACAGACAATGGGAAAAGGAGACTCAGGTCACATGGCAGACGGACAATCGGGCAGGCAGATGGGATAGCAGTCTGGGTGCATCCGGCTGGAACCTGTGCCTACAGATCCAGCCCAGCATGCCAGGCAACTGAAGCTTGGTCTCTGCTGCGGGAATCCCAGCTGCTGGGCAGCAGAGTAGGGAAGGAAGTGAGCCCATGCCTCCCTCTCATGTGGGAAATGAAAGGGAGTGAAAGGGAAATGATACTTGGATGATACTGACTGTGTCTTCTTCTCACCCGAAGCCTGACAATGGGGCTTCTAACATGGAAGGCTGACAGGAATGGATGGACTGAATGACAGGGTGGGTATAATGAACAGGTATGTGGACAAAGGGATAAGTGGTTAGAGGATTGCTGGACAGATGAGTGGACACCATAGAGATAGATGGATTGATGGATGTGCGCAAGGACACATGGATGGATGAGTGGATGGATGGATGGATGGATGGATGGATGGATGGGTGGATGGATGGATGGATG